TTTTTTTTTTTTTTTTTTTTTTTTTTTTTTTTGGTTTTTTTTTGTTATACGTATTAGAATCTCGTGACATTGTAGGCAGTTGACTTTTGTATTTCGCGTTTCATTTCATTCGGTATAAATGATCTACGCATCTTTAAATCTATATTTTTTCTCTTCTTTTATAAACGACGATTCTGACCGAGATATTTCTTTCGAATAATCGTTTCACCACAGTTTGGGTCAGAGGTATATACGAAGGGTATAAAATTACAACATTGCGAGAATTTCATTTTGGAAAAATTTCACCCGCATTCGTGGAAGTACGATACGATTTCGTTACGAGTACGATAATTGTAACGACGATTTGTAGTCGCTAACGGTTTAACTATGATCGTAATATATTCACTGCGTTCGTGTAATCGATAACTATGTCCTAAACTCTGTAAAAAAAAAAAAAAAAAAAAAAAAAAAAGAAAGATTGACTGCGCTACACTTCCTCTCTACTTTGGCATACCGACCGAAACAAAATATCGTCTAACGATTAATAGATTCTCTCGTTCAGCGTGACGATTAGCTCGAAATGAACGAATGTTGCGCACGTTAAATTACCGGTTATTTTCTTTACAACTTCCATGAGGACACGAGTGTCTCTTAGATTGATCGCTATCCTAAATCGATCGCTATGGAATTGGCAGTATTTGGAATTTGCATAAAATATTATCATCTCTTCTCCTTCCCTCTCTTTCATTCCCGTTCAAGTAAGGCAAATTGTCAGGCTATCGTACGTGAAGTATTGCTTTAGCAAATCGCTTTAGCTCGGTAAAGCGATGCAAAACTGCTAACGTTACGACGGCTCTGGTACCCGTTTATAGTTCATTTCGTGTACTACGTTAAATTACAAAACAAAACTGTTGGAAGAACAGAAGAAACAATAGAGGCACGATCGAAATCCGATGCACGCCCAATGCACTGTTTCACGAGCGATTTCGAAATTTCGTTTCAGATTTAAATTTACTTCCTTTTCTCTGGTCTCTTATAGATAATCGTCGTTACGAAATGTTACGTTATGATACGAACAGTGCAATATTTTCAAATGCAAGTAACCGCCGACTTCTTTTTTTGTAACTTAAATATCAAGCGGATAGATTCGTCACTGGATATATAATAATACAAAACAATATAGTTCGCCGGATTGGTCGAGTGCCGAGCTCCTCCGAGCAACTAGGATTAAGCTAACGAATATTCTCTGTGGAATGGCTGGCTTTTTATTTTACACAACGTCATCGAACGTTCAGCCGCGTAAGCATATAGATGATGAAATGGAAGCACAATGTTCGAGAATCACCAATCGTGGAATGATAATCGACTATGATCGCGATAACGCGAGTGATATGATCAGATCGTAGAAAACTGGGTCGGATAAGGAGATAATAACGTGCGATCGGTACGGTACATATACTATGCGTGACGAACATAACGAACGTTTATTTATTGGTAACTGTAACAATACTCTCTCTATATGCTTAAGCAGTACATCGTTCTTCCGTTTGCTATTCGACGTTTCTACCACGGCGCAAGCATACGAGATACCGAGAAGTTCATCGTGCTAAAGTTCAACCTTTCACTGTACGAAAAAGAAGAAAAGAAAAAAAAAACAAAAAACAAAAAGAGGAGAAAAAAAAGAAGAAGAAAGAAACGCGTGGCTGACGATCCTGACGATCGACAAGGAAGGGAAACTTTAAACGAGTCCAAAGTCGGTGTGAACGGTAACGTCGCAGTTGTTCGGCTTCTCCGCGGCCGCCATGTTGACCTCGACCAACGTGTCGACGCTGTTAATTGGGCAGCCCTTGAGGATCTTTTGCGCCGCCAGGCTGGTGAATTGCACTTGCATGTCGCTGAGGCTCGGGTACGAGTAAAGATCACCTCGGCTGACCGTTTTCTCGAGATTCGGTTCGGAACCTTGCGGCGCCCTCTGCTGCTTCGAGGCCTCGAGGTTCTCTATGTAGACGTTGTTGAATGAGCCACCGAAACCGTCGAACGATTTGCTGGGCGACGGTGGATTCGACGCGATGTTGTTCTTCGAGCCGGGGCGTAGAAGGTTCCTGTAGCTCAGAGCGTCCTTCGACAGGGATAGACTCAGTTTCCTCGAATTGTTCATCGCGTCGTTGGTGTTCTTCATGCTGGTTAACGTGGTCGGTGGTGGATGCTCGTTTACCAAAGCGTTCTTGTCTATGTTGTTGGTCGATCCGTCAATCAGGTGTGCTTGGCTGTTGTTCAAGCGATTCGTCAGCTTCAGTTTGTTAGGCAATTCCTCGTCGACTTTCGGCTTGTTCTCTTTGTCAGATTCCGACAAGAGGAGGCTCGGTTTCGATTCTTTGGAAGCGTAGAGCGAGGACGGACGTTCGAGCTTGCTCGACTTGTTCAGCTTCTCGTCGTCGTGGAGCTTGCTCGACTTGAACAGCTTCTCTTCGTCTATCTTGCAACTCTTGTACAGCTTCTCGCCGATCAGTTCCCGATCCTGTTTCTCCTTGCAGTCGGTTTCCTTCTCAGCCACTTTGGTCTTCACCGTGCCGTTTTCGAACGTGATCACCGATCTCATGGGCGAGTTGTTCTGCTGCACGTAGATCTTCGTGCCGGGTGACCCGGAGATGGTCGTCGTGCTGGTCGCGTTCGAGGCCAGTGTCACGCTGTTCTGTATCGCTCGTTGCTCCTGCGACGGGCTCACCGGTGTTAAATTCGTCGACACCTGCAGTGTTATCGAATTCTGTGCCTCTTGAAGCGGCGTCAACGATCCTTGTTGCACCACTTTCAACGGCGAGGATTTCGCTGGCAACGTTGACGCTTTCAACGGCGACGACGAGAGTTTACCGCTCGAGATGGATTTTCCACTGGAGTGGGACGAGTGACCGGACGATGTCTTTTGTAGAACCTGCAAACGTGTCGTTGTTCGTTATTATTCTTCGGTTCGAGTTTGAACTCGTGTATTCAAAGACGTGAAGGAGATGTGTTAAACGCAAGAGGAGGAGGAGGAGGAGGAGGAGGAGGAGAAGAAGAAGCAGTTGGAATTCACCTTATGCTGAGGCGATCCGTTTGACTTGGTACCACTGCCGGTGGAATCGTGACTGGGTCGCCTGGAATTCGACTGTCTGGTGCTGGATCTGCCTAGCGTGGCCGTTTTCGCCGGGCTGGCGTTTGCAGTGCCAACGGACCCGGAACTACCGCCGCTTCTGCTCGGTGACGAGTTGGCCGAGTTTTTGCCGTTTTGCGTTTGATTGCGACTTTGATACGGCTCCTGATTGTTAGCCGCAGGCAGGACAGAGGCTCTGGACGTGCATCTGCTTAAACTGGAGCACTTTGATCTGGGCAGTGTCGAACAGGGTGATCGATGTCGTCTGGAACTCCTGGGCGTCGAGTTGGCCAATAAACTAGAGGAATCGCCGCTCGCTTGGCGTCGGTGTCGCCTGGGCAGCGTGGCCGATCGCACCGAGCTCGAGTCGTCCCATACTTGGAAACTGGCCTGCGATTGATCTAGACCCTCCATCATCTGAAAACGTTACTCCGTTGTTAAAACTGAC